CAATTAACCTCTCCTCCAATATCCCTCCCTGCAATGCTTCTCTCCGTCACTCTCTGCGTTCTTCTCTTCATTTTCTCTTCATTTTCTGTGTTTAGTTGAGCAATAACCATGATTTTTGTTTGGTGGGTCTTTGCTTGGTTCTTTTTAACAGTAATTGCCTCTTCTTTCGGCTGCAAGGGTTAAGATCTTTTGATCAATTTCTTGGTTGGCTTTGTTCTGGAGGCATAAATTGATTCTCCATGGTCTTGGGGCTTAAACCCAGATATGCATTTCTTGCTTTTCTGGCTACCCTTTGCTTGGAACATTTGAATCTTCCTTTTTAATCACTCACGTCTTTTTATTTTTCATTTCTTGGGGTTCTCTAAAATTGGTTCATGGACATAGGGTGAAAAATTGTTATGGTATAATTGGTGTAGTAACAGTTCTTGTGCTCTGATTAGGTCAAATCTGCTATTTGATTTTCCCCAATTCGTGGTTGGGTTAGGTTTTTCCCCAATTTTAAGCTAGAATTTCAATTGAAAAAACCCAGTAACTCATCCAAATGCACAATTAGAAATGAAAGAGTCATTGAGAAGACAAACTTAATTATAAAGTACAGAAATTAATAATTACAAAACTTTCTTTCTGTTTTCCCACTGTTTCTCAGCAACCAAACAAGACCAACAATTATCTCAGAAGAATAGTTGCAACCAAAGATGTTAAATCAAAGAAGATTCAGATCATAGACAAGTGAGATGGGATGGGAGACAAGAATGAGAGTTTGGATCTCAAACTCACCCAAATTCCTATTTGAAAGCCTACATCTTGGCCTATCAAATTTTCCAAATCCACTTGAAAATAGGCCCAAACAGAGTGATTTGGATTTGGACACCTCAACTCTCTTCTCCCAAACGGCCCCTTATAAATTGGGAAAAAGGCCCAAACAATACGACGGAACCCCAAAAAATGAGTGTGCAGGTTGTGGTGAAGAGGCTCTGCGGTAAGATGTAATTGGTAATCTTTTCAAATGGACAAGCTAATGCATTTTTGGTATTTTCAGAACCTTGAAAAGGAAAGAAAAGATTGTGCATAACTAAACCAGAAAGATATAGTCGACTTAGAAGGAAATTATCGGTCCAAGAAAAACTTGAGAGAAAATTAGTAGGTTAAATATAAGCTTCTTTGATTTTAGGTTGCCCGAAACCAAAAAAATAAAATAAAAAACTAATAGAAAATAGTCCTAGTTTGGTTAACAAAAGAGATCTGCTAGATATTGGTTTAGGAATTTAATTTGTTTCCAACTAAGATTACCTCTATTTAAACCTCCAAAAAAAATGCAAGGGTGTGTAACTTGGTTAAGAACATTTATTGCTGTATCCTAGGTCTTAGATTCGATTCCCGAGAAGAATTGTCTTCCATCCAATTGGGTTCTTTCTACTGTCTGTGAAGGCAGCCAAAAATATGTCATCTTCCATTGAGGCTCTTGCAATGGCTGGTGCTAATTATCTGGAATGCAACATTGATTTGAAAGAGTTGGAAAAGAAAGACCAAGAGCCACCATGCCACTTACAAGCTGAAACATTCGAGAGGGATATTGAGTACTTAAGTTCCCTAACTCTGAGCTCTCCCAGTTTTCGCAGTCTAAAGTTTGATGAAAAACGAGAGGGTAGGAACCAGTTGATGCAGAGAGACAGCCTTGTAACCAAGAGGATGGAAACTAGGGTTTTGAAGAAATCAGGGGAAGCGATGACAAAAAGGATGTAGGGAGGAAGATCTCAATGGTTATACATTGACATTACTTTTAGCGTAGGTTTGTTTTGGCTAGTCACGTACATGTTCTAACTTCAAAGGTTGGCTCTTTTGAGAATAAATGATCTCTCAAGGTATGAAGAAATTATTGTATGGTACCGTAAAACGGTCACGTGGCATAATTTGTTCATGTGTGTTATAATATGAATATACAACTAGTTTGATATTTTCAACTTTTAAAGTATAATATCAATAAATCTTTTCATCTAATTCGTCTTTTATTTTATTTTTATTTTAACTTAGTTCGTACTTTAATGTTCTTTTTAATTTGTATTATAGTACGATTTTATTATCTTGGTCATTGTGTTTGATTTTGTTATTAGCAAGTTAAGGACAATTTCAAATTTTGGTCAGTTTAATAGATGAAATAAGTTTCATCTCTCATGGCTTCCTTTAAGTTAAAATTTAAACCGAGTGAAAATAGCATTGATTTGTAGACCAGTAGTCTCAGGTTTGAATCCTATTTCGTACCCTCATGACACCTTCGTGTGTGAGAAAACTCTCCTCCCCAAATATCGCTTTGTATTAAAAATAAAAATAAAAAGTTAAAATTTATAAAACGTCAATTCCAATACACAATATTATAGGCGTATTAAAGCTTATCAAATTAGTTTCAAATTCATGTACAAATTGCTCATAACCAAGAATTTATGATGGAAGATATAAGTTGTCAAATAGAGTCGCGGCCAAAAGCAATTACACTTAGCTTGATTTATTTTCTCTAATTTGCTCCAAACAATAACTAGAAACTTGTTTCAACTTGTGGGTTTTACTAAGAATGGGTGAAAAATCATGTCTACATCCTTAGATTTGATTTTCAAGCAAGAAATAAAAGAAAATTTCAAAGTTTCCCTTTTGTAGAGTTAAAATAGTTTTTTTAAATTTTATTTTATGCTTAAGAATACAGCTACAACACGAAATCCCTAGTTCAACTAGATTTCAAGATCAATACGATTTTAACGAGTGATCTAGATCTGCTAGCGTATCCGCTACAAATTTAGTTTGTTGAAATGCATGCTAGAAACAATTTTTTTTTTTTTACGAGCAAAAGTTTAGGGGGAGGAGAGGATACCCCATCTTAGAATCAGGACATACCAATACCTCTTTGAGGACTTACAAATGCTAGAAATAATTTTTTAATAATTAATCATCACTGATTAATTTGAAAGCTGCTATCAAGACAATACATATTTCGAATGATGCTACAAAGGCCCCAATGACCCGACAGGTGAGAAAAATGAGAGTCAAATATTGTGACGAAGTGAATTTCTAGCGGAGTCAAAGAAAATAAATAGTGAGAAAAATTCTTAGTTTAAATCTCTTAATGAGTAATTGAATTTGCTTATTAGCTAACATATACAAATACAAAGATAAAATTGGTCAAATTAATAACACAAGGACTAAATTGATTGATGAGGTAAAACAAGGGACGAGTTGACATTCCGAAAGAAAATTGTAAATAAGAATATATGTTTCACCATGCACGTGTAAATTGCAATGTTTAGTGTAGAGTGATCATAATTTTTATTTTATTTTTATAATACAATTGATAGTTTATATTACAAGGGTTTCTTACACACACACTATTAAGGTGCTATAAAAATTCAAATATGAAACTACTAATATATAAGTCAAGACTCTTTTTCATTGAACTAAACCGTTGGCATGTAGAGTGCTCATAATTATAACCTAGAAAATATTTTCTTCACCTCCACTATGCCCGTGCACGGGACCATTGATGATGGTGGCCCATAGTTTGGCAGCCCATTGATGGTCTAATGAAATCCCTACCTGTATAGATGGCTATCTACTGGACTATTTAATTTCCATTATGAGATAGATACGCAGCCCAGTTAATTTCCATCATCTCATCTATTTACATTGAGAAAGCTTCATTTCTATTCATTTTTCATCAATTGTGATTCAATTTATCAACATGGTTGATTATTTTGGGTGATCGAAGTGACTACCAATCTGAGAATAGAAATCTTAAATATAAGCTCTAAATAATAATTTTATCCAATAAATATAATGATGTCTTCTCAACGTATACAAAATATCGTGAGCCGAACCTATATATATATCTTTATGTTGTGGGGATCACACATATATCCACACATAAAAGCTATTGCTAGAATTTGAGTCATGTATTAACAATTCAACATCATTCTACTAATATATAATAGGGACATTCTTCATTAATAATGTGTTTAATAATTAGGAATTAGAATTCTCATTAGGAATTAAATTCCACATGTGGAGGATTCCTGCATTTACTTTACATCAAGGAATTGAAAAGTAAGTGGGACCCACACAAAATTAGGATTTCCTAATTTTAGAGGAATTCAATTCTTGGGTGAGAGGTGGTATTCTAATTCCTGGAGAACTAACGCATTATGAATTCATCTTTTTTACCCATTCTATCCTCATACAATTTTCAAATTTTCAAATTTGCCATTTACTTTAATCAAACAACGAGGACTTTTTAGTAATTAGTATCACTCCTACCCCAATTCCATATGGTTTAGTAAACAACTTCAATAGGAATTCGGAATCTAACTCCCCTCAATTCATATGGTTTACTAAACAACTTCAATAGAAATCCGGAATCTAATTATCCTCAATCCAACTCCTCCTCAATTCAATTTATCCTCAATCCAACTCCTTCTAATTCAATTATGGATTAGTAAACATACCACAAGCATTTAAATTAAGGATTGATTACATACTTCTAATCTCAGCCGTTGATTTGCATATAAGAGACTACCAACATATTTAATGAATACAATCCAACGATCAAGATTAGAAACATGTAACCAATACTTAATATAAAATACTTATTGAAGAATCTCCCTAAATAGTAAACCATCAACCCTCCATGCAAAAACAAAACAAAACAAAGAAAGAAATGAACCATGTGATCCAGATTTTATTGTCTTGCCATCTCAACCACTTTATTTCTATTGAAGGATTGGGATCATTCCATATATTCATCTGGGGTCCTCTAAATTTTGGGCACACCCATTGTGAGTCTTGTTTCTTTATTAAAATATATTGTGACAAAAATGTCTGTATATCCACATTATAAATATCAACCACATATATTCCGATAAGAACTAACTTCAATATAATTCACAATCAATACAAACGTGACAGTCTAGCACGAGAATATTTTTTTGGTAAATGTCATTGTCAACACAACACCACTGAACTCTCTATCTCCCACTCTTCTCGAGTACTTTCCCATCTTTGCTTTGCATAATTTTTCCATGTCTCAACTGGTCCCTTCTTCTTCATCTACGCATTTGTTGTACCGCATGTAACACGACATTCACATGAAAAGCAAGTTCCCAAACCAAACCAACCCAACGCAACCCAACTCGCCAACCAGCATGCCCCACCTCAAAACAGCACAAAATCACCCACAGTCCTCAATAGGGGACTCTTTTCCCATCAACTAGCTCCACACACTTCCAAAAAATTACCAAAAATGCCATGCTTCAGCCTCACCGAGTCAAAAAATTCATGCCACCGGTCCACCTTCGCCCGAGCCGGCCTCCGGTCTGCAATCACAGACATCAAAGACGGCGGTACCACCATGCACTGCTGGGTTCCGCAGTCCCCAAACCCGTCCAAGCGCAATCTCCTCCTCATCCACGGCCTCGGTGTCAACGCGATGTGGCAATTCGTTGACCTCCTCCGCCACGTCACCCCCCACTTCAACGTCTACGTCCCCGACCTCCTCTTCTTCGGCGAGTCGTTCACGACCCGGCCGGACCGGTCCGAGTCGTTCCAGGCCGAGTGCGTGATGCGGGTCATGGAGGCCCACTCGGTGCGGAGGCTGAGCCTGTTGGGGCTGAGCTATGGCGGGTTTGTGGGGTACAGCCTGGCGGCCAAGTACAAGGAGGCGGTGGAGAGGGTTGTGATATGCTGCGCCGCGGTGTGCTTGGAGGAGAAGGACATCCGGGAAGGCGTGTTTCCGATATCGGATTTGGACGAGGCTGCGAGCATTTTGGTGCCGCAGACGCCGCAGAAGCTTAGGGAGTTGATCAAGTACACTTTTTTCAAGCCGCCTCCTCTTGGGTTGATCCCCTCTTGCTTGCTTATGGATTTCATTGAGGTAAATGTTTCTAATACTTTTTAGATGATGATTAATCATGAATTATAATGATGATTAAGTTAAGCTAATCAAACTACCGGTCATATTAGATTGTCAGTTGAGACGGTATAAATAGCAATATCTTATCTCGTTCATGCATGTCTACACATAACAATGAGACTCGCTATAAACTCAATCGTCATAAGTTGGAAGTTTAATAAGTGCAAATTCTTCAAGTGTTGTCTAATTGCACAACTCTTTCATGTAGTGTTGTGGGTCAATCAATGTATGTCTTGTCGTGCAAATTTTTGTAGTTAAGGTATCATTATGAATCTCAATTTAAATCAAACTTCTTTTTTATGTTGCATACGGTATAATTTATGTGCACGTTATGAGAAAGGATGTAAGGGTGAAAAAGTTTTTCAAATGGATTAGAGCGTGTTTTGACCACTAGGCTTGAAAGAACCCATTAATCCTTGCAATTGATGTGCACAGTTGGTCCGAATTGAAGCGATCTTAGAAGAAAAGATCAATTTGGACTGAGATTAGTGGCAAGGAAGGAACATAAAACATTGATATATATAGTTCATACCTAATGGATGATTTGTGGAATTTAGGTACCATTTAAAGAATAAAAACTACCAAATTTATCTATTATTTTATGTGTAATTTGACTTATTAAGACATTATCTTGTCCCGACAGTGATCTCGAAACACATTTGCTTCGTTGAATTTTCGTTTTGAAGGCATAAATCATGTAGTAGAGTTTGATAAAAATAATAAATAAATAAAAAACCATGTCGATGTAGTGGTGGTTGTAGGATTGGTCACCTGTCTGCATGCTGTATTAATATTATAAATATAACCACTACATGGTGCACGTGACTCATTACAAAATCAACTACCAGTCATGGAATAAAACATTCAACGGGTCAACGTGGTTTGGTATGTAGTACGTGTGATTGTCTTAAAGGGAATTATTGCAATAATATTTTAAGTGGTAGAGCGAGAATAATATTAACCTTATTAAAATCATCCCAAATAAAAAAATTATACACACGTCAAATTGTGATTTGTTGAAATAACTATTTACATGTAAGTAGCCAAGTAATTTCGTTATGCAATCAAACTCAAATTATGGTGAATGGGCAGGCAATGTACACTGAACATGTGAAAGAGCAGAAAGAGTTGATTATGGCCGTTCCCAAAAACCGAAAACTTTCGGACCTTCCCAAGATTCCACAGGTTCATTTTTCATCTATGTGTTTTTTTTTTTGGGGTCATAGCACATCTTTATCTTACTTAAGTTAGTTGTCCACGTGTGCATCAGCGGTTGAAATCTCCGCAGACCTTAGTGAAATTGTTGTCATTTTCCTCTTATGCAAAATTATAATAACATGATTTAGTACTTCTTACCTTTCTCTCACTCCTCTCTCACAGCCAACCCTTATACTATGGGGAGAGCATGATCAAGTATTTCCGCTAGAATTTGCTTACAAATTAAAAAGGTGAGTTTCTGATCGAAGTCTTTGACCGAGTGCATGCATTTGTTTAGTCTCTCTTACCGAGTGCATGCATTTATACAGGCACTTAGGGGAGAACGCTGAGCTTGTGGTGATAAAGGATGCAGGACATGCAATTAACGTACAAAAGCCCAAGGAGTACTACAACCACATCAAGTCCTTCTTACTCGACATGCAGCAGCCATCTGCAAATAAACATCAACAACATTCAAAACCACTTCAATCACTGACATGAAGCTATTTAATGTAATCCAACCCTTAATCCCATATAACAAATTTGTGTAATTTAATTGGACCAATCATGACATGACGTGCTTCATCAAGCAAAATATATTTTTTATATTATTTATATTTTTATTGAAGGCAAACATAATACAAGACAACATGTAATGTTTTAGCATAAACGGCACAAAATATGCATACCCTCTTTGTTTAGAAGGGTTAAGATGTTGACGAGTCCTTATTCAGTTAGGATTTTAGTTGCTTAACTATTTATAGAAGGGTTAAGATGTTGATGGGTCCTTATTCAATTAGGATTTTAGTTACTTAATTATTTATATAGTCCTGTTGTAACTGAGATTTCTTTCCTATTTTATCTCAAGTAACACATCTTTGTTATTTCTTTATAAATACCTCCATATTGGTGGAGAAGAATACTTATACGTAGATAAGTTGTATGCGCGTGAATTAGGTAAAGTTGAAGCCAGAGCAGCGTGGCTACTACAATGATGAATGTGAACGCAGTACTAGTCGCCATCACCCTGGCTCTGCTAACTTGCGCGCCTCGGTGCATTTACTCGGACGACCAGCGGCTCCTGGTGAACATGACTCTGGTCCGGAATGCTTCGGCTTTCGGAGCATTTTGCTTGGATGGGAGTTTGCCTGCGTATCACCTGCACAGAGGATTCGGGGGCGGAGCAAGAAACTGGCTTTTACAGTTTGAGGGTGGAGGGTGGTGCAATAGCATAAAATCATGCTTGGACAGAGCCAACACCCGTAGAGGATCAACACGCTACATGAGCAAGTGGGAGGTCTTCTCTGGAATTCTAAGCAATAATGCATCTCTAAATCCAGATTTTTACAATTGGAACCGTGTGAAGCTTAGATATTGCGATGGAGCTTCATTTGCTGGAGATGCAGTATATAAAAACGGGACGTCGTTGCTCTATTTCAGAGGGCAAAAGATTTGGGAAGCAATCATGCTTGATCTTCTGCCAAAAGGTTTAGGACAGGCAAGAAAGGCTCTGCTATCAGGTTCTTCTGCTGGGGGTTTATCATCCTTTTTGCATTGTAACAACTTCACTAAATATTTACCAAGCACTGCCAGTGTGAAATGCTTGAGCGATGCCGGATTCTTTCTTGACAAAAGAGATATAAGTTCTAACCACACCATGAGGTCTTTCGTTAAAGATGTTGTTTCTCTACACGGGGTAGATAAGAATCTGGATGAGAACTGCACCGCCAGCTCCCTTAATTTTCCCGAGCTGTGTTTCTTCCCACAGTACGCAATGAAGTTCATTACACCACCTTTTTTCATATTGAACTCAGCTTATGATGTTTACCAGTTCCATCATATATTGGTGCCGCCTTCAGCTGATCCACAAGGCCACTGGAATCGTTGCAAACTGAATCCGGCAGCGTGCAATCCTCAACAGTTAAATACATTGCAAGAATTCAGGCGTGACATGATTGTTGCTATGGGATTGTCCTACAAATATTCGAGACGAGGAGGCTTCTTCATTAATTCATGCTTTGCTCACGGCCAAAGTGAGTCTCAAGACACATGGTTTGCTGCAGACTCTCCAAGGGTTCACAATAGGACCATTGCGGAAGCAGTAGGTGATTGGTACTTCAGCAGAAGGGCAACAAAGGAAATTGACTGCCCATATCCTTGCAGAAGCACTACCTGCCATAACCTTATACCATAAACTCAGCCCTTGTACAAGATTTGAGAAGCTATTAGGTCCAATATTTTCAAGGAGACAAATTTCTCTGGAAGCTTCACAAGGAAGAATCAAGAATACAAATATACAATACAATACAAAGTGATACATAGCTTACTACAGAGAAGGAAAACAAAAGCAAAAATTTTAGTGGAGTGTATATAATCGTTTTTTTAATTAAAGAAATGTATTTTTTTTGGAGAAAGACAATCAAGTTTTTCTCTTTATGAAGTACTTCCAAAGTGCTTTTCTAATAATACGGATTCTTAATAAAAATTTCAACTTCCATCAATAACGCTTATAACGAGAAGTACGTAATAAGCACTCCTATTTCCCATGTAAATAGGCCAAAAAGATTGATGTGTAGTAAACAAAGGCACTTCAAGTAACTAGTGACCGGCCCTGGCAACAAGTCAAAGGTTTGATCTCTTTCAATGCAATTATTAATTTAAAAAAAAATCCAAGGGCCAAGAAGCGCCATGATTAAATAGACAATACATACAACCCTAGAGTCACTTTCCTTGTACTACAAACTTGGTAATCCAATGAGTCATGCGCCCTATGTTGCTCCATCTACACGAAGCCAGTCCCATATAATTACTCTCCCTTATCCCATCTAACTCTGCAAATTGAAAACTAATTAGTGAGTAACTGAAGATGGAAATGAAGCAATTTAGAAAACAAAACCAGAAAATCATTGTTAGAAAATAACACTGCAGTTTTCTTATGGCATAATAATATTCTTCTGTATTACCTTTGAAGGGGGTTCCTCAACTTTAGATTGCTCACCTGACAATTCAATCAAAGAATCAGCAATTATGAATTATATGCATGAACTTAGAACAAATTCTAATCTGTTCCAATACAAAGCAAGAACAAAAAATTATTTTAAGGTAGAGAACATAATCCGACGGGGAAGTATTTCTTCAACTGCAAGCAAAAAAAAATAAAAATGTTACACTGTCAATTTAGATATATATATATATATATATATATATATCAGTCC